CATGATAGTGGGAAGGGGGGTGGGGGGAAGCATTTAGGAACTAGAGGAAAGTTGTATTTTTCATCGTTGCTACATCACACCCTGACTGGCTCGTCTCCTCCCCAAAACCCTTCTGCAAGGGGATCTCCAGTGGCCTACAAATGGGCTTTGGGTCTCCACTCTGCACTCCACCTTCATTCACTATGGTAACATTTTTCTGTTCTTTGACGCCTGATATCTCATCCCTTCAGCACCTCGTGATCACACAGGCTGGTGTGCTTCTTCCATGTGGGCTTTGTTGCTTCTGAGTTAGATGGCTGCTTGTTTACCTCATGGCCATCCTCATAGGCTGGACCGGCCACTGTGTGCAGGGCAGGGTCTCCAACACCTGTGTCACACCACCCTCTCCTGCCGCGGAGCCCCTTTCACATGGTACATGGCACCATGACCCTCTGGGCTGCTGGTCACCATGAGTCCTCATACACTTCTTCGCCTCCACCAGGCCAAGCAAGCAGGTGAAGGGTGTCATTTATTCTGGATGGAAGCACATGTCCCCGACCACCAAGGAGGAAGCACCCTGCCCCAGGTCCAGGGCTGTGGGAAAAGCAGGGATCCTACTGCCTCAGTGGCACCAAGTGGCCTCTCTGGAGGAGCTGTCACTCAGATGCCCAGCTCCCGAGCACCCCAACACCCGGGCCCAAGGACTCCAACACCAGGATGCCCCAGAGTGACAAGCAGCAGCCTGCAGAATAAATGAAGGGTTGCAACTCAAACCCAACAAGTTCCGGCGAGTGGAGGAGTCGCTAGCCTGGAGGCGGGGACAGCTGTGCAGTGGAGGAGGAGGCTGCTGGCTGCCTTTTCCGGGCTTTACTTAAAACACCACCCCGGTGGCCAACTGGCTCCTCTCTGCGAGCTCCTGGCCTGCCCGGGCCCTCTGCACTGTCGGTTCTGCAGAGCAGCCCCACACTGCGGTGTGGCCCAGCTGGCCGGTTAGCAGTGCTCACAGTCTGGAGTGGTCACAGCCGGGCTGTGGGCTGGGGAAGGATGGCTGGGCAGGGCCGGCAGTCGGAGGTCTTGGCAGCCCTTCCAGCACACCCCCACCTACTACCCCTACAGCTAGGGGTACAGATCTTCCTTCAGCCATCCCCTGGGGCGCCCCATCTTCTCAGGAGGAGGTAGAGGAGCAGCAGAGCACCACCCCCCCACCACCCACCACCCCTGCTTTAAGGGGCCATCTGGCGGGGGGAGCAATATCCCATGCTGCCCACCCCCTCTTGCAGCCCCAGAGGGGTTCTCTGATGAAAGCGCCGGCTCTGGGTGCCCCACTCCCCGCTCCAGAGAGACAGACACTAGGCAGCCCGTGAGAACTGGGCCTCAGAAACTGGTTAAGTTCACTGCTCCTTGAGGGGCCTTGAACTTGAATGAGCAAAGCCTGCCCGGCCCACTTCCTAGAGATTCCCAGTCCTCCTTAGGAAGGTGGGCAACAAAATGGGGCACAGAGACAGTGTCAGCAGACCCTGGGGCTTTGGCACCATACACGCCTCAGCAGGTGGCAGCGACTGGGGACCGCCCACGCTCCCACTGCCTTGAAAGCAGCCCTGAGTGAGGTGCACTGCTGCAGGCCTGTCACCCTGGAGCCGGGACTGTGGAGTCGGTTCCGACTTGCAGCGACCTTCTAGCACAGAGAACTGCTCTAGGGGTTTCTCAGACTGAATCTTTGCTGGAGCAGACAGCCTCATCTTCCCGCCACATAGCAGCCAGTAACCCAAACCAAACCCACTGCCATGCCAAGGCTGTAAATCTTTATTAAGGAACAGAAGACAGCCTCGTCTTTCTCCAACACCTCACCCACGACACCACTTGGGCTTCTGTGGGCTAAAGAAGAGCACACACCGTACCTACAGGTACAAAGACATTGTGCCAATTTCTCCCAGGGCTCGGTCCTGGGACCCCATTTCATTTTCCGCCTTTCACAAGGACCTGCTTGGGAAAGGCCCCCAGGGGTACGGGCTGCCAGAGGGGGAGAACTCCGACACTGGAAAGACAGACTCTTCAATAAAGGGCCCAGGCTGAGGCCGAGGCCTCCCTAGTGGCACGATGCGTTAAGCAGCAGGCCTAGCCGTTCCGGTCCCCCAGCCTTGGAAACCCCCCAGGGCAGTGGCCGTGGCCACTGTGTACTGAGGACTTCCCCCATGCTCCATGTCAGTGCTCATCTCCGGGATCAACCGGAAGAGGGGCACAACTACACCCCACTTCCGGACTCGGGGACAGCAGCCCTGGCTCCGGAGGACATGCCATTTGCCAGGACGTGGCTGCACAGAGCCTCTGGAGCCAGAGCTGGGCTCGTGCTCAGGTCTGACCAGCCTGGGGCAGCAAGCTCTGGTGAGACTGGGGGGAGGGTCAGTGCTGTGTGCCAGCTGGCGGGTACGGCTCCCCAGTTACCTGGGGAGGCGGGGCAGTGGTGCAAATGTCTCCTGGAGAATAAACAGCTTCTCTGCCTCCTGCCCCTCCCCGGCCCTGACAAAGGGGCAGGAGACACCCAACACCAGGCATCAGGTGACAGGCACCTCCAAGACAGCAGGGGCGGCGGTGACTCAGGCCTCCCCTGGACGCCTGATGCTGGTGGGCGATAGCCATCCATCCACGTGGGAGCCGCACAGCACGAAGCTGCAGTGCTGGGAGTGGGGGTGCTCTGGGGCCCACATGCTCAGGGCCAGCCTCAGGCTGCAGCTGAAGGGGCTACAGTGGGCTCCCTTGGGTGGGGGGCAGTAGTGGGGAGTCCTGACAGGCCCAGAGGCAGGCAATGCTGAGACCTATACTGATACCAAACTGACAGCCCTGGCTGCTGGCCCCAGTGTCTACCGGATACAACAGGGACCAAGGTGCATCCAGCCCTCAGAGAGCCAGACCAAGGAGGCGGGCCACCAGGGCCCAGCACAACTTTTGAGGCACCCCCCACCCCCAGGTGATTCTGACGACCCCAGCCTGAGAACAGCTACCTTTCATAAGGCAGGAGCTGTGCCATTTGGATGAGGGACCAAGCTGGGCCACAGCTCTGCCTGAGGTGGGGCCACCGGCACTAAGAGCAGAGAGGGCATTTGTACCCTGAAGAATGGGGGTCCCAGGGAGAGTTGGGGGGAGGGGCATGGACAACGCAAAAGTCAGCAGAGAGGAAACAGAACTGAAGTTAGAAGAACTCACCCCACCGAAGGGCTGTTCCCTGTAACAGGGAGGTTAGGGGGCGTGATGAGCTCCTGGAAGCACCCTCCCCTCGGTGGTGGCAGGTGCCCATTCCAGCAGGGAGCCAGCAGCCGTGGTTCCCTGCGCACTGGGCACCCACCACCCTAGGAAATGGCCTATTTTCAGGGCTTCCAATGGGTTCATCCTGGGTCAGTGGTGTGCCAGGAAGTGTAACCAGGACGAGACTGAATTTTCTACGACCTGCGCATGTCTGGGAATGCTACCTGGATCGGAAAAATATCAGTGGTCCAATATCCTGCTAGAAACCTCATCTCCTTAGGAAACGAGGGCAGCGGGCACACTGCCCAGCCGCCTGCTGCGTACAGGAAGGGCCTCAGAAGCCCTACAGGGCAGCCCTACTCCATCCTACAGGGTGGCTGGGAGCAGCATGGCAACAAGCTTGGGTGTTGGGTTTTTACCAGAGTTCCAACATTTTTCTTAAGAGGGCCAGAGAGTCAACACTTCGAACTTCACAGGACTACTCCGAGCTTCTGCTGCACTGACCCAGCTCTGTGCAGCGAAAGCGGCCATGTGGCAGGTACGCAAGTGAGCGTGGGGATGTTCCAATCAAACTTCACTTACATGGTGACAATCTCAGAATTCTATCTTCCTACGAGGTTGCTGCTGCTTTTTGTCTTTTCTAAGTGCGAGTGGGTGAGATAGTTAAGGTTTATTGTGTCAACCTGGCCAATAAACACATGTGGGATCAATTGAAGGGTGGAGAGATAAACAGCTCTGTAAGCCTTGCCTTTCTAGTTCTCGGGTCTCTTGCTCTCTAATGGTAAGACCAGAGTGCACTGCCTTAGCCAGTTCCCTGCTTCAGCTGGCTAGGCTCACTTCCTGCAAGACATCCCTGAGGAGAAACCACATGGACCTACCCTGATGCAGCCCTGGGTGCTGGAGAAGCCGCATGGAGACCCCTGCCAGCACTGAGATGCTTACACGCTCACTGATTCGGCTTTCCTCCTGCAGTCGGCGTCATTGCGTGTGTTTTGTGAGATGGAGGAGGACTGTGTGGATTGGTGTCGGACAT